ATTTCCGGTACAGAGCTATAGAACTCCAGATAAGCAGCATCAGCACATCACCCAATCTGTCTAAGGTCAATGCTGGAACGGGAAACATGAGAGCACTCAAATCATGTGACGGCTGTCCTCTGGGCTCTGCTCCCAAAGAGGAAATACAGCAGGTCTGATGAGTATCAGACCCATACTAATGACACTAGGCAAGCAACCAGAGAACCGAAATGGGAAAAACTGAATAAAAGAGAGTTAGCCAAGATAGGTAATACAACCTATAACATTTACGTGGTTATAAGAGCTATTACGAAAATGATGAATTACGGCCTGTGGTCAAATAGAAGTCACTGCCTAGACAGAATTCTAGTGATCTGCTGGTACATTAAAACCTGCTATGGGATCACATCACGATAGCCTCCTCTGATTTCATTCTGCTTTGTACTTGAAAGGAGAAAACAGTTTGTTCAACACATATATGCTACACATTTCAAATTTGTCTATTGTCCTCCAAAGTTCATTTTTAATGATATATGAATTAATCATTTATTAACTGAAAAGCCAATCTATCTGTATATTAATATAGTCATAAAAATAAAAGACTCCTATGCTTTTGCAACCAATTGAAGTCAAAGTGAATTAAACTTTGGTAATCGCAAACTTTGCTGCATTTAACTTTGCATTCTTTCTCAACTCTGCTTCAAGCAACAGGACTTCATTCCCCATGAGTAGCAAAGTCCCAGAAGAGGGAATAGCCATACAGATAAGAATGTTATTTTGTACCATTCCAAAATGAGATCTGACAACAAATGAGTGCTAAACAGATGGAATAAAGGGGGCAGGCACAGTGATTAATACTAGACTTCATTACGTGTGTCTATAAAACACTTAAATATCATTCCTAAAAGAGCATCAATAAACAAAGAAAAATACCAGACAACCCAAAATTAGATGACAGGATATGACCACACACACAGATCATACAAAACAGCTAGCATAAACTCACCAGTTAAAAGAATTCGCAAATGGGATTAAAAAACGTCTCCTCAAAAAAAAAAAAAAAAAAAAAAAAAAAAAAAAAAAAAAAAAACCACACAATGTCTAAAAACAAAGAAATGAGAAAAGATAGTCCAGGCAAATCCTAACCAAAATAAAGCCAGTACAGTAATATTAATGTCAAAATAAATTTGAAGGTACTGTATGATGGTAAAAAGGGGGACAAAATTCCAAGAATATTTAATTTAGCACATGTTGCCATATAATAATCTAGCCTCAAATTTTATAAAGCATAAACTTACAGAAATATGAAGAGAAATTATCAAATCAACAATTACAGGAAGAGATCTCAACACACCTCTCATATTAGTTGATAAATGAAGCAGTTAAACAATGAACAGAGACATAAACAATATGAGCCACATAACTAATAAGACTGATCCAAAGGACAGATCTGAACACCTGTGCCAACAAGGAGAGAATATACTTTCCCAAACTCAAAAAGAACTATTACAAAAACTGACTATAGATTAGCTTGCAAAATAAGTCTTAACAAACGTAACAGATCCCACAAGACATGCACAACATATATTCACAACACACACATGCTCTGGAAATTCAAAACCACATTTATAAAAGCTTCAGTGGTCAAAAATGACCCATTTAACAGGACGCAAAAATATTAAGCACTGAACGGCAATGAAAAGCCCTATACTCAAAACTTGTGGACTCAACGAGAGATACTTGAAGGGAAAGCTAGAGCCATGAAAGCCTATATTTATTTGATACCCAAGAAATCAGAAGAAAAACAGGCTAATCACAAAAGAAAAACTAAAGAGCAAAAGGGAAAAAATGTTACAAAAAAAGTAACATAGAAACAATAAAACCCAGTTGTTTCTTTGAAAAAAAAATCAAAATGGTTAGCTCTATAGGAAGAATGAGGGGGGGGGAGAAAAGGCAAGTAACTATAGAAATGAAAATGGAATGAAAATCAAGTGCACACGACGAGAATACTATGACAAACGTCATGCCAAGAGATTTGTCAAATTAGAGGACATGGAGAGTTTCCTCTGAAAGTATGAATTACTACAACTAACTCAAGAAAAAACAGAAACAAGCTATTAGTATAAGGAAACTGAATCAGTGATTCAAAAAACAAAACAAAAGAACAAAAAAACAAACCCACTCTCCAACCCTACTCTTTTCACCAGGCCAAGACAGTTTTAAAGGCAAGTTTTACCAGATCTCCCAAGAACAGATAACGCCTAATTTATCTAAACTTTTCCAGAGAATGTTAAAAGGGAAGCAACTTTATGAGGCTGGTATGTAACCTGGTTAATAAAATTTCACAAAGCTGATAAAAGGAAATAAAATATATTATATGCAAAAACCCTAGATTAAAAAATATGAAATGAATGTCAAATCATCACGAACAAGTAGGGACAATGTGGAAAAATTCAATTCAGGGCTTACTAGCTGGAATTTATTTTTAATTCTTTTTAACGTTTATTTATTTTTGAGACAGAGAGAGACAGGGCATGAACGGGGGAGGGTCAGAGAAGAGAGGGAGACACAGAATCCGAAACAGGCTCCAGGCTCTGAGCTGTTAGCACAGAGCCCGACACGGGGCTCAAACTCAAAGACCGCAAGATCATGACCCGAGCCGAAGTTGGACACTTAACCAACTGAGCCACCCAGGCACCCCCTGGCTAGAATTTAAATTGGCACCACCGCTTTGGAGATCACTTTGGCAGGATCTGGGAAAACAGAGGAAGCAAAATTGCAATCAACCAACAGAGCAATTCCACTATGGTCTACCCTGAAGAAACTCTCGCACAAGGAAACAAGGCAAGGTGTAGGATTGTGATCACTGAAGCAATGGCTGTTATACTACGTAAAGAAATTGAGCCTCAGCACAGGAATGGATAGACTGGTTTAGTCATCCAAAGAAAACTACACAGCAGCTGAAAGTGAACAAAGTAGATTTACATGCGGTAAAAAGAGATGTACTGAGCAAGAGAGATGCGAACGAGACTTCAGCAAGGTTTTGGGTCTTAAAAAAAAAATCTGAAACGCATGGCATAATAGGAACATCTGAGTAAAATTTTTATGGGGAATATACAGCTGTCAATTCTCTTCTAGATTTTGGTAGTTTTTTACATACATGGTGACTTTAAAAGATAGAGAACAGAAATAGATTTAAACCATAGAGCACATTGGTAAACCCTGAGGTTTGGTCATATAAAGAGCTTCAGAGATAGCAAGGACCTTCTGAATTACCTAAGCAACCTTATATTCCATAGATGAAGCCAGCTTCCGGACCTCAGTCTGGCCCAGAGAGCTTCAATAAATGGTTCAAAGTCACATAACAAGTTATCAAGTTGGTTCTCAAATTTTAGACTCCCTAACTTCTAGCACACGTAGGAGAAACAAGGAGCATGGAGTCAAACGTAATTGAGTCAAGTTCACAGCGTCATTGTATTATTTTCTTTACTGTACCCACCCTACCTGAGACACACAGTTTATCAGTCTCCCTCTAACCCTCCGAGCTCTCTCTCAAAGCTGTAAGGATTTTTAATTCTCTTTTGCCACTCCTGTTCTTGAAATAAATGAAATCTCTAAACAATTATAACTAAAATGAGTAAAACAGATGAAGTAAAATAAAGGACCATGAATTATTCATCTTTGCACCCTCCGTACCTTGTATTCTAATACAGGTTTAAATATATAATAAAATACTGTTCAACTAGATAGGTCTATTTCACCAAGCTGAATCCTTTCATTATAGTTAAAGTGTAACTTCTATTTTTAGTAAGAATGTGAAGAATTAGGAAAAAATAATTTTAATATTTAATAAGCGAGAAGACCAAAGCAAAGACTATTCTATAGAGACCATATTTTAAATGAACAAAAGGGGTCCCACTTACTGCTTTGTCCACGTGTAACAAATCAAACAGGGTAGTTTGGTGGTCAGGTTCACAATGTCCAGAGTCAAACTGCCAGGTCTGGAATTCTGGCTCACCCACTAATTGGCATGAAACTTTGAGCAAGTTACTTAAACTCTCCAAGCCTTCCATTCCCCACTGTAACAACGGGAACACCCATAATAATACCTACCTCATATAGATTCTTACAAGTGTTATGTGAAATAGTCCATTCGAAGCTTTTGACACAGTTGTTCAGTGCATATCAGCTATTTGCACATGTTCTTGTAAATAAAGTAACTTAGCTATGAAAAGTAACAAGCTCTAACGGAATTATAAGGTACTAGATGCTTTAAAAAAATTATATTGGTGGGGCACCTGGGTGGATCAGTAGGTTAAGCATTCTACTTTGGCTCAGGTCATGATCTCACAGTTCGTGAGTTCGAGGCCCTTGTCAGGCTCTGTGCTGACAGCTCTGGGCCTGGAGCCTGCTTCGAGTTGTTTCCCTCTCTCTCTCTGCCTCTGCCCCATTCATACCCTTTCTCTCTCTCTCTCTCTCTCAAAAATAAACATTAAAAAAATATTTTTGTTTTAATTATATTGGTTTTGGTCACATCCATGCTAATAAATTATATGCTTTACAAATCATGAGTGTTGTTTAATTAAATGAAACTGAATAAATGAGCTCAATCTTAAATCGTTAGACTCAGGATAAAAAAAACTTAGGGGTAAAGTTCTGAAATTAACATGACTCTGAAATACCAACCTAGCTGGTTTCTCAAGTGAAACCCTTACAGAAAAAGGTAACATTCAAACTATTTAATACCCATTCTGAACAAACACCAGCCAATGCACACGACCAGTGCAAACTAGCAGAACATTGGCCCTGATTCCGCACCCCCCACCCCCTTAGGGTCAGGAAATATTGTTTGTCATGGAAATGACCCTCTCCTGTTCTTATTTTTTAAAGCACAACTGACAAACTAGCTTATAGAGACACAAAAATATATACACTGTGCCAGCCCACAAGTGAGGGCAAACTGTGCCTTCTGTGTTCACCCTACACATCAAGACAGCCATCCAACCAGCACCCCATCTCACCTCCAGGTCACAGCTGTACTCAGTGCCATCTAGGAGGGTCACTTTACACTGGACAGTTTTGGTCTTCTTGGTGGCTTTCTGAGAAGCCTTCTCTGACTTTAGCTCATTGGTCTGCACTTCCTTGGTCTCCCTTTTTGCTTCTTCTGATTTGTCTTCCTGTATTTCTTTAGCCTTCTCTTCTCTCTCCTTACTTACTTCATCAGCAGGCTGTTGACAAAAAAATGTACGTTCATACTAAAGTTAACCAATTTGCAGAAGACAAAGTATTGGAAGGAAAATCTTCAGTAGGAATTGTGATTGTTATAAACACTGTCAACCTACAATGTTAAAAGACTTCAAAATTTTGCTAGAAAAGATATTCCCCATATCTCCCTCCCCCTTCCTCCATTTTCTCATTTTGCCAGTTTGGTAACATCAGCATTAAATGAGTAGAAGAAACTACATCCTGGCAACTAAAACTTAAAATATTATTTCAAATAATAAAATTTCCAATTATAATAGCATAGTATGGCAAAGCCTAGGTTCATTAGGCAACCAAAATGTTCACACATACAAATCTATTTCTTCCTACTTCCTGAACACTCCCATACATCAAATCAAAGAGGTAAAAAATCCACACTATTTAAAAAGGACAGGCGGAGGCGCCTGGGTGGCTCAGTCGGTTAAGCGTCCTACTTCAGCTCAGGTCATGATCTCACAGTTCGTGAGTTCGAGCTCTGCGGGTTTCAAAGTGTAACAGCTCAGAGCCTGCGAGCCTGTCTCTGGATTCTGTGTCCCCTTCTCTACCCTCCTGCTTGCACCTGTCTCTCTTCAAAAAATAAAGACTGCAAAATTTTTTTTGAGAGGTCAAGGATTCTACATCTGTTTAACCTAAACAGTAAGAAACATGGATTTTTTTTTTTTTATAGTTTGCATATAGAGTCAATTTTTTTGCCTTATTATTTGGGCAAGTTTTTAAAAAGAAGTAACAAGAAGGCTGTAGCAGACCACTCCAAGACCCATATTCCAGATACAATAAGCCAAAGTAGTATCTGCATAGAAAAAATCTCAAAATGACTCAAAAGAAATCCTTTTTGTCATGTGGCTAGAACATCAAGCTTTAGGCGCGCCTGGGTGGCTCAGTCAGTTAAATGTCCAACTTTGGCTCGGGTCATGATCTCCCAGTTTGTGAGTTTGCCCCACATTGGGCTCTGCACTGACAGTGTGGAGCCTGCTTGGGATTCTCTCCCCCCACCCCCCTCGAAAATACACGTATTTGAAAAAAAAAAAAAAAAAAGAACATGAACCTTTAATTCCCAAACACTTCTCAAACATACCTGTGCCGCAGGACCGCTCACTGGTTTCTCTTCCTTGACATCAACTTTAATCTCCTGTTGTTTCCTCTGAGCGGTTTCTTCGGCATCACCCTTGGCCTGCCTCTCTCCTTCAGGAAGAGATTCTTCTTTATCTAAAATCTCCTCAGCAACAGCTTGGGTAGGCTCTTTTTTATCTCCTCCATCTTTGGCCACTACTAAGGTATAGGACTTTTGTTTCTTAAGCCATGGGGGTATGAATCGAGAAATTCCCCTGCTCTCCGATGGATCCTTCTCTCTCTTCTGGCGGTGTGGACTACTTTGGCTTTCAGCTGTAGGAGATGACTGGGAACCTTTTTCCTCCTCTGGATCGGAGGACTGATTCTGCTGATTTTCTGCTACTTCTTTCGTTTTCTCCTTGGTTGTATCTGTGTCTGCTCCTAATTGTTCAGGTTCTTTCTTCACTTCAGAAGTGGAGCCTACTTCAGTGGTCATGGTTACAGCTTACGCTGTAAACAAAACAAAACCACAAAATGCTATTTTACAAACTCTCTCAGTTTTAGTTTGGAGGGAAGGAACAGGGTACAGAAGAGTGGGAAGGGAAATGGCAAAGAGATGATAGAAAATGTGTAGGGAAAGACGGTTCATAAGCACAAAAGAAAAACGGAGATTGCTACTCTTAGAATTCTCTATCAGAATCAAAGAACCAAAGGTAGCATCACAATGGAATTAACTGATTCTGTACTGATAGAACTTAAAATCATGAAGAGCTTAGGTGATTACTTTTATTAAGTTTCATCTAGCCATAAAAAACTTACCCCAAAAAACCCCGCCATTTTTTAAGGAAAATTTCTTTTCTCTATACTTTGTATGCCTTATTCTATCACACAATAATGTTACTGATACTGTTAGTAAGTATGGAGACAAATTTCGCTGCAATTTCCACACAGTGAAACCAAAATGATGGGTATTATAAAGATGAATTTTAAATGTGGAGTGCTTAATAGTGAGAAAATTAGATCTGGAAAAAAAAAAAAAAACTGTATCTTTTTTGTCCCCAAATTAAACCCCATAATTCACCAGCATTATTTCAGTGCAGGAGTTAGTTTTCTGAGAAAAGTACTCAAACTATGATCAAAAAGTCTAACCCTCTGTCCCACCCAAACGCAAACATAGTCTTCCTTATAGATGCAATTACAAGTATCTAGGGGCCCTTAATCTGAACCAAATGAAGACATTATAAAGGTGGGGAGGGGAAATGCATCGAACAATTGACCCTATCACAACTAACGAAAACAAAATTGAGGATGAGTGTGAGCTGCTTGTCTCTCAGTTTCACGCAGGCAAGGAGTTTTTTTTAAAATAAAGCTCCCCTGCTGATATATAAAACAAACAAACAAACAAACAAAAAAAAAAAAAAAAAAACAGGCAGAGCAGAGATAGCACACTCTCTCCTCTGTTGCCAATGTTCAAAGGCCTGGGAACCCTGGCCAGTAGGAAATTTTCCAGCTATCTTCAAAAGTAGTACAAACCTTGACTAGTTCAAAAAAATAAAACACACTTGCTCTTTTTTAAGCTTTAGTGAGATATACTTCACATACCACAAAATTTACCCATTTAAATTGCTTAGTTAATGGTTTTGAATTCATTCACAAGATTGTGCAACCATCACCACTATCTAATTCTAGAATATTTTCATCATCCTGAAAAGGAACTTTCTACCCATTAACGTTTTGTCTCTGCTGTCCCCTCCCCCTGCCCCCAGCCCCTGGCAATTACTTTCAATCCATATGGATTTGCCTATTCTAGACATTTCAAATAGACGGAATTACACATGTGGCATTTTCACTGGACATAATGCTTTCAAGGTTCACCCATACTGTAGCATGTATCAGTACTACACTTGTTTATTAAAATATTCTTCACCCTCTTTTGCCAATCATATATCTGATAAGAGTCTAGTATCCAAAATATATCAAGAACCCTTACAATTCAACAGAATGAATGATGAATGAATGAATGAATGCAAAGAATTTTAAGTAGACATTTCTCCAAAGAAAACATACAAATGGCCAGTAAGCACTTGAAATGCTGCTCAACATCATCAGTCATTAGGGAAATGAAACCCAAACCACCATCAGATACCACTTCATATGCACTAAAAGATGGCTCTTATCAAAAAGACAGAGAGTAACAAGTACTAGTGAGAATGTGGAAAATTTTAAATTCTCAACCTGGTGGCAAAGAAAGTAAAATGGTGCATTCACTTTGGAAAACCGTTTGTCAGTTTCTCAAAAGTTAAAGTTACCACAGGACCTAGCGATTCCATTCCTACATGTATATATATACCCAAGAGAAATGAAAACAGATGTCCACAGGAAAACTTGTAAACGAATCTTCAGAACAGCCTTATCCGTAATAGTCAGAAAACAGAAACTCAAATTTCTAGCAACTGATGAATGGATAAACAAGATGGGTGTGTCTGTGCAATATTAACTCCTAAAAAGGAATGAAGTGCTAATGTATGCTGCCACACACAAACCTTGAAAACATTATTCTAAGTGAAAAAAATACAAAAGGTTACATGGTATGTGATCTGCTTCTACGAAATTTCCAGAATACGCAAACCCACAAAGAAGAAGTAGATTAGTGGTTGTAAAGGGCTGGAAGATAGAATAGAGAGCAACTGCTAATGAGTACAGGGTTTCCTTTGGGGGTAATGAAAATGTTCTGGAATTAGACAGTGGTGATGGTTGTACAGCCTTGTGAATACACACAAAACCATTGCATTGTAAGCTTTAAAAGGGTGATATCTCGGGCCCCAAGGTAGCTCAGTTGGTTGAGCATCTGGCTCTTGATTTTGGCTCAGGTCATGATCCCAGGGTTGTGGGATCCAGCCCCACGCCGGGCTCCATGCTGTATGTGAAGCCTGCTTAAGATATTCTCTCTCTCTCTCTCTCTCTCAATGCCCCTCTCCAACTCGTTTGTGCCCTAAAATAAATAAAATGAAAAAATAATATAGTTTTTTAAAGGGTGATATCTCAATAATAAAAAAGTTTTTAAAAATGGTATTCCCTTCTAATAGGCAAGCATGAAAGCATTCAGTCAGCCTGACTATATTTAATGGGCCCCTACAATGTGCCAAGTACTGGGCACATGAATAAAGACTGCCTTCAAGAAGCTGAAGGAGGGGAGAAGGTGGTGTACAGATGAAGTGAAAAGCACACTGCTTAAAAAGCACAAGACAGATACTTAACCCAGATTAGGAGAAGAGGGTCACTAGGTAAGCCATTCTACCAAAGTTGACATTTGAGTTTCTTTAAAATAATGAGCCCTCATTCAGGCAAGGGAGTCAGGATAGGCAGCATGTGCCAGGAACAGGGAAGTGTGGAACCAGGAGAATATTCCTCCTACAGGAAACCACAAGTACTGAACGGTAATACACTGTACAAGTTAAGTGGAAGCTTGTTATAGAGATAGGAGATGAGGAGGAAAGCGAATTAGCAGGGACAAAGTAGGAGCAGTAAGCAGGAGCCAGGACATAAAAGGTTTTGTGTATCCTGGTAAGAAAGGTCTTGAGGTTAATTTAAAGGCAGTCAGAAGTCATATAAGCACTTTCCACAGAGGAGTAATGTAATCATACCCACATTTCAAATAGCCCAACCTGGCTTGTAAAGTACAGGATGAAAGATTGAAATAGACATCCAGAAGGCTGTCCAATAACCCACACACAAGACAATGATGGTCTGCACTAAGGTAGGAGCAGTGAGGCAAAGGACAAGAAATGAATCTAATGGTAAAGAGAGACAGACGACATGATGTGTCCACAATGAATAGAACAAGTCAAAGAGAGGAAAGGGTTGAGGAAAAGTCTCAGGTCATGGAAACTGGGGTGATGGTAGAACCACCCACTGAAACAGGGAGCACAAAGGAAAAGAGGGTCTGACGGAGACAAACTCTGTTTTGAATGCATCACAACTGACAAGTCTGTCTAGCTGAACACCTGCCATACAGGTCTTGAACGGAGACTGGATATGCACAAGAGATATGGATTTGGGAGTTGTCATCGTATGGGTGATAGTTAAAAGCACAAATGATACATACAGCCATCACCTAGAGAAAAAGTGTAGTTTTGTATTTAGAGGGTCCTGAAAAGAACTTTATCACTGCTCAACATTGCAGAGTCAGGCAGAAGGCAGGAGGTGAGAGAACTATATAATAAGACTAGGAGATGAGTGGAAATAAATGGAGGGCAATGCTACAAAGGAAGAATAGTTAAGTAACCATAACATTTTAATTTATAATTCTATCCATGTTTGAAAATTTGCACATATTAGTTCACTACCTCTATGCTGTATAAAAGCATAAAGTGTAGGTGTGTTAGTAAAATGTTTAACTACCATCTGCATTGGTCTCAGATCACCAAACTTAAACATCGTATTCTGTCAAACAAATATCTGTGATGAAGTAAACATCACAGATAAAACAGGCTGTAGCCAACATGGATGTATTGTAGAAAAATTATACCAATATTCCTGAAAATCAAAAACTGGTGATATTGAGCAAAACTAAACTATATGTTTTATGGAATTTTTGTACAGAAATCTTAGCTCAACGTAAACCAAAATGTACAAAATATTAAGGCATTGCCTTTATTTAGGAAGACATGAGCCAAGATCTGTTAAGTCATTCTAAAGCTAATATGATTACTGAACTTTCTCCTCCAAAGATCTGAGTTGAACGTTCAGGTAAACAGAATGCAGTTATTATTCACAAACCTAAGTGGGCTTCCCACCCCCCCTCAATTTATTTAAACTAAACAAACAAATTTCACCCATTTCTCTCATTCCCGCATCTGGCAACCACTGGTTGTTCTCTTTATCTATGAGCTTGGTTTCGTTGTTGTTGTTATTTAAATTGCACATACAAGAGAGATCTTAAGGTGTCTTTCTTTCTGTGACATTTAGTTTAGCATAATCCATCCATGCTATTGCAAACAGCAAGATTCCATTCTTGTTTACTGATGAATAATACTCTTGTGTGTGTGTGTGTGTGTGTGTGTGTGTGTGTGACAATTCTTTATCCATTCATCCATAAATGGAAATTTAGGCTGTTGTTTCTATATGCTGACTACGATAAATAATGCTACAGTGAACATGGTGTGTATACATCTTTTTGAGTTAGTGAGTTTTCATTTCTTTTGATAAATACCAAGAAACTGCTGGATCATATGGTAGTTAATTTTTTAATTTTCTGAGGAAACTCAATACAGTTTTTCTCTAGTGGCTGTACCACTATTAGGTATTTAAAATTCAGAATCATGTCTCCCAGTAAGACTCTTACATGAGTTTTTGAACTGGCCCCAAATAGCACAGAAAGTCTTTTTTCCTTCTTTAAACTACCATTTTCCATGTACCACTTAAATGGAGAATATTATTTATATTAATCATGCAATGACCCAAGTTGATTTTTAGTATATACTCTCTAATTACGTT